AGCGATTATGACGTAATATAAGAGACGTAATCTACGCGCGCTTTCGTGCGCCGTACACTTAGATGTTTTCATTATTTCTTCATATAAATTTTCTTATTAAATGTGATATCATCATGAAACTTGAAACGTGAAATGCATGATCATAAAATGTTATTTTTTGCTATGAGAAGAAAAGAATTTAGCAAAGAGAAACTAACCTGTTTTCCCTGTCTTCGACTTTTTTGGACAACCCTCGTACATGTATTTTTAGCCAATTTTCTTCTTCTGTAAAAATATAGCACTGCTTACATGTATGTGCTTATTAAAAAATATTATTGTGGTGATTAAAGAAGGATGCACGCTACACAGCATTATGTACTTTTTCTAAAGCAGCTAGGAGAGTCAGATACCAAGGAAACTTACAATAGTTGCACAGGTCAGTGCAATACAAACAAATACAAATGCATATAAATGAAATAAATAACAAGCAAATTCAAAGGATTGTGGTCCCCCGCGTTCGGTGTCTTTGTGGAAAAGATGTCATTTTTATTGTCAAATATGAACGCCCTATCAAATGTCATTCAGATATCATCACTGAAGTTGATTTTATTTAAAACTAAGGTTAATCGTGAAGTTCAAGGTCAAAGGGTCAGAAATCATAGCACCCTCGGAAATATCTTGTCACAGGCAACGCACATGTCAAATATGAAAGCCCTATCTCCTCTCAATAAAGGAACAAGAAGTTTTTGTGAAACACTGATGACCCGTCTGGCAACAAGGGAAGATTAAAATTTCCTTAAATGCAATTTTAACATATAATAACCCAAAGTAGGGTGTTCTCTCGAGAAATACGATTGTTAAATATGAAAGCCCATATACCACCTGTTCAAAAGTTTTGGTCAGGGATACGTTCTTGATTTCAAGAACTTATCCCTGGCCATATTTTTTACATCAAACTCCAAGATCAAAGGGTCAAAGTTGTTGATTTATAAAGAAAGGTCTTTTCACAAGTATTACATATGTGAAGTATGAAAGCACTTACCCTAACCGTTCAAAAGTTATGACAAAGGTTAAAGTTTTAAAACAGTAGGTCAAACTCCAATATCAAAGGGTCAATGTTCTTGATATCCAATGAAAGGTACTTTATATACAAGGATTACATATGTGATGTATAAAAGCCCTAGCTCTAACCCTTCAAAAGTTATGGTCAAGGTTTGGTTTCAGTCGTATGTCAAACTCCAAAATCAAGGTCAAAAGGTCAAAGTTCTTGGTATCCAATACAAGGCCTTGTCAAAAGAATTCCATATGTAAAGAATGGAAGTCCTAATCCTAACCGTTCAAAGATTACGTCCAAGGTTAAAGTTTTTTCATAGGTATGAAAATCTCCAAGCTCAAAAGGTCAAAATTGTTGGTTTTCAATGAAAGGTCTTGCCACAAAAAATACATATATGACGTATGAAAGCCTTAGTCCTTAGCGTTCAAAAGTTATGGCTAAAGTAAAAGTTGAAAATTTTAGTTTAAAAGTGGGTCAAACTCCAAGGTCACGGTCAAAAGGTCAAATTTGGTGGTATACCCAAAGAAAGATCTTGTCAGACGAAATACACATGTGAAATATAAAAGCCATACATGTAGCTCCTCTCAATTAAAATTTTTTGGCAAGGTTAATTTTTTTTTTTCTCGAACGGAAAGACTGACGGACGGACAGACGAATGAGATTTAACGTCCCATCGTTTTTGCGAAAGCGGGAGAAAAAAAAAAACAAGAGCAATACAGATAACCAACTCGAACACGTGTCACCACTTCACAACATTACCTGTGAGAATAAAGTAGACAAATGTAACGAATGCGAAAGGTATGTATATCCAGTTGCTGATAATATAATCAAATATGGTGTATGCCTATTAATACGAGTCGTGTTCAGTGTGAATATAAATGTAACATACATGAATAGAGATATCGAATAATTATATTTTATGTAGTAGGCAAATTAATTAACCATGGGATTATTTCAACTTTCACAATTTACAATGAACATGTGTTAGATTTAATAGCAAAAATATATCTGATACAAGTTTTCCTACTAAACATATGTTTACCCACCGGAGCTCCCACCAAAATAAAATAATATGCATTTCGGCACAGTAGCCGAGTCTACGAAATGTGAAGTAAATGACACAACTATGAAAACGTTAGAAAAAATCCCAGAAAAATTGCGGTCGAAATAATGATATATGTAAAGATAAAGAGTGATTATTTTCGGGGCAACCTCAAGTTTTTGATGGAGTCTAATCATTATACAAGGTGTCTTTACGGTCTTTGTACATGTACTTTGTTTCCTGCTGCACTTACCATGGTAATTTTGGTATTGTTAGATTTTCGTCTGTTAGTTTGACGCTCTTACGAGAAGTTTTCAATCCTATTAAGACGCCACCATTTGCCAGTATATTGCTCTAGTTCTCGGTGCTTATGGTCTTTGATCACCGAGGGATGTTTTTGTGCAAACACCTACTGTTTTATTGGAACTCGGGTTAATACAGTCTCATCCGAAGAACCGATGTCCACGTCCTATAGTAGGATTCAAACGCGAGACGTCAGGATCAACTCTTTACTTCAAGACTTTAAAGCAAGCTCTCCTATACAATTGCACGACTTAGGTGACTGGTACCTTTGACAATATCAAGCACTAAATCACCAAAAAAAAATATTTCTTTATTGTTTTCGTTCTTAGCCTTCATTGGACTGTACAAATTCGTTTTTCTTGTGGCTTATGTTAATAAGCACAAAAATGTTTCATAAAAAATACATATTGCATTCTTGGGAATGTACATAATTATATTGCAATAATATCGATTAAGTCATATAGCCTCTTTATGTATCTTACATTCTTTCCTTCATAAAAAACCGTTGATTCCTTTATATTGAAAAATCTAAACCTGGTGCTTAAACAAATATACGAGGGGCGTTGATCAATAAATAATGTCATTGGGGCTTGGAAAGAAACAAACAACGCTTTTCTATGACTTAGTCTTAATGATTTAACTAAGATATTCGCTTTTAATTAAAACACATGTCCGTAACATTTTCATTCAATTTCTAATTGTTTTTAGAACACATTTTTGAGTACGACCCTTCGTATACTGGAATATAACAGATCCTATGATTTCCTGTACTTGTTTTATTTTTTTCTGATAGATGTTTTTCGAAGTTTGAGTTTAGGAAATGAAACAAGTAAAAGGTTGAAAGATCTGGCAAATTTTGTTGGTGTGACAAAACATTAACTTTCTGTTTCTCCCCAAAACCCCTTTACTCTTCATAGTCTGTGGGTTTGAACGCCGTCATTAAGACATTTAATGTAGTGAATCATCATTCTGTTTCCTTTCTCTCATAAACCTTTAATTTTTTTTTTTTGCAAAACAAGTGTTTTCTAGACTCATCCAGAAATTTGAACTTTCTCCCCGAATATGAATTTGAAGAAGAAGACCGCTTATATTTAAGAAAATAGCATTTAAAACTGTTTTATGCTCCTGTAATTCTTTGCTCTTCTTAGGCCTTTGCAGTTTTGTCAAGTGCATCGTATTGTGAATTTGTTTTGAGGGCTTAAAGCAAAAGCAATTTAAGTTTCAATATCTGTTAGAATTTCATACAAACGTAGATAAGTACAAATTTTGTTTGGATATTCCTACACGCTGTCGTTTTCACTCATTTTTCAAAATAAAGGGTGTCCTTTGAGTATTAAACTTTCTTACGAAAGAATATATCTTTAAAACAGTATGAACTATCCCCAAAATGATTTTATCAATTTTGCTATGTGTCTTAAAGTCAATAAAACATAATCAGTAATTTGTTGAAGTTTCACAAATTTACAATGGTTGTTGTAAGTCATTGTTGTCAAGGACCGTACCCGTTTTCGGATGCCCATCATATAACTTTTGTTTATGGAAATCTATATGTTCACCTGTCTATAAAACAGGCATTAGTTGCTGTTTATTTCACTTATTTCAGTTAATATATTTTTGGATATTAAAAAGTTTTACCGCTGCTTTAATGACGCGTTCAATTTTACTCTAGTTTACTGATTCTTGACCATTCATTTTTAATGCAGTGTCTCGAATAGCCCTTTTTTCAGCTTCCCACGATGGAATAATGTGATGAAAAGTGGTCACACAAACTATCAATTCATTAAAGATTCAATAATGAGAGAAAGTCAAGCTTTATGTCATATGACTACTATGTTATATGCCATCAAGCTAATGACATTATTTATTGAACGTCCCTCGTAAACCATAGCCTTCATAATTATATCGCATGCTACCTTAAGTATACTTCTATTTCTGTGATAATTAAAGGTGATATTAGGATTGACAGCAAATATAATAAATGATGCATTCATTCACCCTTGATTTAATTTACAAACTGTGGGTGTGAATTTGATCCTCTAATCTCTTGCAGTTTCTATTTTTCATTATATAGTCTCAGTAGACACTTCACAAATAGACAAGCCTTTCCTAATAATTAGTAACAAGTAGATATAATGTCAATACTGTATTTTAAATACTCCATTTTCAATTATCCGAATTAGAATTTTTCCACAGATACAAACATGTACATATATCCGGTATTACGTTATAAATTAAATTTACTAATTCTAATGATGATGATCTTAAATTGTTTTTGTTTTAACTAGTTCTGGAATATATACAATTAATTAAGTAAAAACAACACTCTTATATGGTTTATCATGCTACATGCTTAAAGTTGGTGAGTCCATTTGATATATTGTACTTGTCCTTTTTATTGTTAATCAAGTCGGGTCTCTAAAGATTTAAACAGTAAACCTATTGGATAAAAATGTCTGTAATTAAGAGTCTTGACCTAAAACAAACACATTCATTTCACTGAAGAGTAATCACGACCTGGCTCGTTGACATTATATTCAAGTTAAAAATCTTCCCTTTTTCTAATCCCTCTCCTTTAATTTAAATGCTATTATTTTTTTCCTCCTATTTCTTAAGTAACAATACCGTGGTCGTTTTCGAAGTTTTGATAGAGGTTCTGGTTCTCCTCTTTTTCTTCAGTTCCAGCATTATTAGCCAAGGAGCATTCTGCGACTTCGTGGACGTTTTGGTTCAATTTCAATTCTACAGATATATGGGCAAACAGGGACTCGCTCTGAAAAATGTAATTGTTCAGAAAATTATTCTCTATTTATAAATTATTTTTTTTAATTAAAATGTTATATTAACTTGGGTATCTAAGATGCAATATCAGCTTCCAAATCACAAATATTTTGATTGCTGTAATACTTTAATCTTTTAAATGATTTATTTTTATTTATTCAAGATTAAGAATAACTTTGATATTTGAAAAAAAGGGTTAACATATTCTATATTCCTGAAAAGTCTGTCAAACAATGGGAAGAAAGAAGATAATGAACAGATCTCGAAAAAAAATTAAACAATACAAATCTGTGAAGAAAAATAAACATGGACTTAAGGAAATTCCAGGGTTGGGATAAGGTGCCCAGGACGAGTAATCATCCCCAGCCGCCGTGAGTCTTATTTATAGATCAGGAAGACTGAACATTTTGTAGTCGAGTTCAGTATAAAACAAAGGCCTAACAAATCATATGAAACGGCCATGGGTTTTCTTCATGAATAAAGTAAATAACATTCAGAGTATATTGATATTACAACATAAATTAGGAACTTTGTCGATGCAAATATTGAAATAATCTCGTTTGTCATACGATTTGGTTGTAAGTTGACCCTTATCGTCTATTGTAAGTAAAGCATCTAAATATGAAAGAGAAGTGAAAAACTCTGTGGCGTCTTTAATTCCAAGTTCACTCTGATTATCAAATCGACGTTTTGAATGAAAGTGACTATTGCTATTTGATGATACATCAACAATTTATCTGAATGTCGTATTAATTAAGACCACAGCATGTTAATTAAAATAAATTCTGCATATTATGAATTAAAAAAAAACTACTAGTAAAGGATCACAATTAATGTCCGCTGTTAAGAAACAATTAAAAATGTTATTTCATCGGCATTGTTAATTTTTCACAGTTTAGTCAAACATCGCAGTAATCAAACTGTGGAGGATATGAAGATAAAAAAACTGAATTTCAGATTGGTATAAATCAACATGTTTGAATCAAGTTATTGACGCCATGCATATGAAACGTATAAAAACATCAGACATTACACAAAGACCGACATTTAAATATAAAGAACGTGAAAACAACAAACAGTGATCAATCTCATAAATCCTGTAAAAAACACGAATCATGATCGAGACAGAAACACGCACCCACAGAAACCATTTCTATTCTAAGAAAATATGACCATCTTTAAAGAGCAGAAACAATTTTCAGTCATGTTTTTCAAATGATGTAATACTATTTCATAAAACTAATATCTTACCTCAATTACCTCAATTGTATGATGCGCAGTCGGGTTACTCTGAACTGCATCTCTGTTTGCCCCGTAAATAATAGTTGTTATACATTCTGGATAATTCTTTGAATCATAGTAATTGAATAACTTTGAAATATTGTTTGATGAGTAAAGAGTCAAAACACATGATCAAAAAACACTGAAATGTTTCATACTCCTCTTCAGTTTTACTTTTCCCCTGTGGTGATCTATGAAAAATGGTTACTGCAATAGCAGTTAGGATGATACATAAGACTAGGCCGCCGAACACAATCCCTATTATTATACTTTCATGTTAAATACTACAATCTGATTGGTTTAGACGCAGTTAACAATCCGTTCGACTACCCTCAGCCGTAGCAACACACGTGCCAATGGGTAACACAACGGTAATGCCACGTGTGTGGAAATTATGCGCGTACGGTTCACCGTAGAATTCTCAAAACAGTTGCGCGTTTGAAAGAACCGGAATAAAATTGACGTCAACAAAAGAATGTCTCCGAAGTAGCTTACTTGAAAACAACAAACGACAGACAAAACATGCTTGAGAGTACAGAAATAACGAACCTTTAGATGATAAAGGACTCTTAGAGTATCAAATTAACAATAAAGAGGTCAGTAAATCTTTTTCGAAGTAGCAGGGAGTTTGAAAGCTTTATAAACGTGAGCGTAAAGACGATCGACGATTTTTTTTAGATACTCTGACGCGTCGGTTGACAATGGTTTTCCTTGGGGTGCCAATTTCAACTGTTACCCTCCAAAACAGGCACCATTTATATATTGTCATACCGTCAAGCTTACATACTGCAAATTTAAAACAGAAAGTTATTTATCAGCTGTGTAATGATAATTGAATGTCCAATTTACATTCAAAATACTAAATAAACTATATATATTATAGTTGTGTATCTTTAATAATTAAAGATGCTTGTTAGTGTCGATCGCGATTTAAAGTAGACCAATGATAAATTTAGTTATAATAGGGTAAATTTTGATACCTTTCTGGTCCAGAACAGATGATTGAGGTTTGCCATCAGAGGACACTAAAAGAATTGAAACGTCTTTCGTCATTGATAAAATATGAAGACATATCAAACTAAAAGGAAATAACATCAAGACACTTTTGAAGCAGTGCAAACAAGGTCGTTTTAAAAACATCAGAATTTGGATCGAACGGCGTTGGATGTGAGTATATAATTATTAGATTTGAAAATGCTTTGAAATATTATAGCTTTGGAGAGTATGCTAAACTGATGAAATATATGGAAACAACAGTATTCAAGCTCAATATACCATTCAAACAATACAAATCAGGAGCAGAGCTAACAAGGACATTTAAACATCAGAGGTGGGATCAGGTGCCATGGAGGAGTGTGCAACCACTGGCAGTCGGTCACAAGTGCTGTGTGTTCCTTGTCATGATCGATAAATAATGGATAAAATCTATCGACGATTCAGTGTGTAAAAAATGGTCTAGCAATTAGAATGAAAAAAGTCCGTCATCGTTTGACGTAATGATAGATTGCACTTGCCGACAAGGTTATTCAATCGACCATAGAACTTACAAAACTATTATTTTAAGCTAGACAATTCATGTTCTTGTTTCAGGAACAGCGCGCTAACCAAAGGTTATAATTTATTATCAAAGTGAAGTGCATTAAAAACATTTCTACAATTTTTATCACCCGGCCTATCGATCTTATACGATTCTGTAAACATATAAAAATGTATTGATAAGTAATACGTACAAGTATTTAGTACATATTTATTTAGCAAAGTTTGTCTCTATGTATAAGCCGAATGCAAGTATTTCAAATTTTGCAGATAAAATTTTGATAAAGAAACGTAATAAATATTTCATAATAAGTTAGGGAGATCGACTGGTACATATATCATAATAAGCTAGGGAGATATACTGGTTTGTGACTCGTATAGAATAGTATAAAAGAATATTGATCATGCCCCCTTCACACCGTTTGGCTTCAAGACTTTTTCTCTATAAACCTACAACATATATCTGACACTTAACATAGTTATATTATGACACCTTGTACAATAAATATGATAGATGTGAAGTTTCCTTTGAATTTCCGTACCGCGAAGTTAGTTGGAGAACATCATTTTTAAGCTTTTTACCTAAATATTCGTATTAGCATATTTATATCAAATTAGCTATTATAGAGATATTTTTTTGTTGTGTGTGGGGATAACTACACATGTATATCAATTTCTTTATTTCTCATTAAATTACAGAATACCACAACAGCACGTAGAATTTTATAGTTCTTTTCAGAAAAGTAAGTATATCGACATGTTTTTAAATTTCTAGTAATAATATAATGAATACGATATTTTAAAATTGGATATTTTCGAGGGGCTTTGCCTATAATTATAGTACAATACCGTATAAACGTGCCTTCCAGCGGCTTTTTGTGAGGTTTCTACATTTCAAATTCAATTAGACTTCCAAATATAGGTTAGTATACTTCACAGAATATCTTTCCACTTTTGTCAGATCACGCTTGTTTTTTAATTTTAAACTGAACCACAATTATAACTTGATCTACTAGCTAGTGTGCCACAAGTATAGAGAAACTGCGTGTAACCTAGTACTTGACTTCATCCCAGTCAGTGCATTATGTATTCCAATAGTGTCATTACTGCAAAATAAGTCAAACACCGAATTATGTTTTCATTATTCATGAAAATAAACAGTTTTTGAGTGTGAATGTAAAAGAACATTGGTTTTTACTTAAAGTGATTCATTTAGTTTTAACATCTGCAAAGAATGATGCAGTTACTAAGCTGCAACGTAAATTATTTTAAATGAACATACATGGAAAGCTACGGAAGCCCAATAGTGCAAACCAAAAATATATAAAGAAAAACGGAAAAAATATATAAAGGAAAACCAAAAATATATAAAGGAAAACCAAAAATATATAAAGGAAAACAAAAAATATATAAAGAAAAACCAAAAATATATAAAGAAAAACCAAAAATATATAAAGAAAAACGGAATGAATATAAAGAAAAACGGAATTAATATATAAAGAAAAACGGAATTAATATATAAAGAAAAACGAAATTAATATATAAAGAAAAACGAAATTAATATATAAAGAAAAACGGAATTAATATATAAAGAAAAACGAATTAATTTATAAAGAAAACGGAATTAATATATAAAGAAAAACAGAATTGATAATAAAGAAAAACGAAATTATTTAATAAAGATAAACGAAATTATTAAATAAAAAGAAGAGTGAGGGAGAAAGAGAAAACATCAACTGAAACAAATACTTCAATCTAATGTTTGAATTAAATCGTCAATAATTGTTCAGCGGTATACGTAATTTGTTGATGTGTAGCATTATGCATAGAGGATCATGAGGGTGGATGTTTCTGCTTGATTGAAATCAATGACATCCAATTCAAATCGCTTGAATCGCTGAAAGGTCAAGACCTTGCTTATCGTATTAAAAAATTCCCTCCGGAATAAGCCTAGCGCCCCATCTGTATATTCATAAATTACGGGTTGTTGAAACAAAAACGAGGATGATTTGATTACTTCGTGACTATTTTTACTTCTACATTCCCCTCATTTCATAAGGACGTCGCAATACAAGAACACATTTCTAAAATGGCATTTTGTTCTTCTTGTGGACATTTCTAAAATTCTTCGTCCAGCATGTCCCTGTCTGGCGCTGAAGACACACTCACTGTGGA